TTTGTTTTTCTAGTCCGGATCCCAATGTCGAGGACTGATTACAATTCGGTGTTTTCGCCGATCACGAGTCCGTCGACACCGGGATCCGTGCTACGAGGTATCACGCGGACCGCGTTTATTTTGGTGACCGCCGAAAGTCACCGGCGATCGAGCTCGTCGATTTGCTCGGGATTGCTGTTCGTTACCGCGAATCCCGAACATACCGCTCGCCTCGAAATATTATTTTCGAAACTAGTCTAGCTATAGCCTAAAGGATTGACGATGAGTAGCGGGTGCGGATCGCGCTAGGAGGTCGTGAGTTCGACGGAACGCGAACCGCCCGCCCTGAGGACGCGATTCCTCATCGCGACTGAGCTGTTGCTCCGATCAATTTGACTCTCCTTGGTTCGGCGATCCGCTGATTGGCGACAGCGTTGAGACTGTTCCATCCGCTACTCATGGTCAGCGGTCAATGCTGAAACTTATTCGAGGTTAACGATTTAATCGGAGGAAAAAAAAAGGAAACAAAGGATTAATACTAAGCAACTTGATGGAGATTGACAACTTAACTTAATGAATGCGCTTGGTCCCCGCAGTGGAACGAAGAGCTGTTACAATTAATAGACTCGCGACTCTAACATTTATGGCAAGCGCATGGCTTGTCTACTGACGCGAGGAGAGGTCCTCTCGGTTCGTCGGCGCGTCTTCTCTGAGAGGCAGAATACAGAGCTTGACTATCGGTCGCTTGTACTCGGAGCTCGCAGTTTTTACGGAGACTACGCGTACTAAACCGTCAGAGCCGGGGTGACACTGCATCACTCTGCCGAGTTCCCATTTGCACGGAGGGAGCAACGGGTTTCTGAGAAGAACCATTGTCCCTGGTTTGATCTCCTTTGTCTCGCGGCACCATTTACTTCGTTGCTGGAGCGCGTTCACATAGTCGGATTGCCATAATTGCCAGAATCTCTCTGTGAGCTGCCGAAGCGTTTGCCATCGAGAGAGTCGACTATCATTGATGTGCAAAAGCGATGGCTCGGGTGGCGTAGTGATCGCGGAGCCGATTAAAAAATGCCCCGGAGTCAGCGGTTCGAAGTCATCAAGTGTGTCGGTAAGGGGTCCAATGGGTCTCGAATTCAAGCAAGCTTCTATGCGAGAAAGCAGCGTTGTAAACTCTTCGAACGTGAGTGTATGTGAGCCGAGGACTCGTCGAAGGTGATGTTTCACGCTTCGTACCCCTGACTCCCATAGCCCGCCGAAGTGCGGAGCATGAGGAGGAATGAATCTCCATCTGATGCCGTCGGAAGCTGTACGGTTTTGAAAATCAGCGTTTGACAGAGCGGCCTTATAAGCGACGCGCAACTCCTTGTCGGCGCCCGCGAATGTCGTTCCGTTATCCGAATACATCGTGCTTGGCATACCACGCCGCGAGCAGAAACGAGTGAACGCGTTGAGAAACGATAGGGACGAATAGTCGCTGACGAGTTCTAAATGAATAGCTCGAGACGCGAGACAAATGAACAGCGCGATATACCCTTTTC